TTTTCATGTTATTAATATTTTTATCATTCATTTACAGGCGAAATTAATATTATCGCCGACGATTCACAAACCTACTCTGTCTGCACAACCAACCTTTCTCCTCAGCAGTGTTGACTCTTTGGAGCCTCATGCTATAGTATAGAGTAGGCTGCTAGCAACTAGGTATAGGCCTAGATGATAGACTTTCAAAACAAAAATATAATCGTAACAAAAAAAAAATAAAGAATCATCCTCACTTTATCTTCTCGAAATAATACAGCACGTCACTGATTATAATTAATTCCAAAGTTAGGTAAATATGATTATACAGTACCGTATATGATATTTACAATGATATGTTAAAATCCCATAATTGAATTGTCCTCATGAACAGAATAATGAAAGAAAGTTTATGCAGCATCAGTGTTTTATAAAATGTTATAAAGCTATACGCGCGCACGCTGTTTGGTGACAACATGGCGCCCATGCGCCAAGTTGGCCAAACTCTCTCTATCTACGGCTCTGCAGATGGCCATAGAGTGGCGCCCTCAATCCCTTGCAAGATTTTTTGACGGTTGTGAATTTTTCTCCATGTTGGATGTGTTGATATTAATATTAATTTTTCCGTGTTCCAAATCTGAAGCTTCCGATCCGCGACATCTCCTCCTGTTTGGCTACCATTTTGTCTGCTGTAAAGTTTACATGGAAAGATGGAGCTGACTTGGCACTACAGCCTAGGCCTAGCCGGGTTTTTATAGAAAGAAATGTTTACTGACCCAGGCCCAGCTAGCCGCATGATGTAAGTCACAATCATCACTTACTTACGTATTATTAATATTATTTAGACAAAGCCTAGGTAGGACTAGACCCCATAATAATAGGCCTACGCTAGGCTAGGCTAGGCTACGTTTTACCTAGCCTAGACCTAGGTCTAGGCCTAGTAGTACTTACTTGTTTCTCAAGAGAGTCTTCTATAGTCTGATCCTCCTGGGTATAGAGGCCAATCAAAACGATACTTATGAAAAAAACATAGGGCGCAAATTTGAGTGGATGGTCAGCCAAATGGGAGTAGGCCCATATCGTCCGCTACCTATAGCGGCCGCCCTCCAGAACGGCCGCCAATGCGTGTATATGTATGGAATGCCGATGACGCATTCACAATTAATAATACAATACCGCTCGCTAAATACAAAGCTTTCGAGTCAACAAGGCCCCAGTCAACTCAGCCCGGCAGGTTAACTAGGCCCTCTTTTTCATTTTATATATAGGCCTACACACTATATAAAACTACTTAAAAAATAACTATTAAAACAATTAAATAAATTGAAGTCACCTTAAGAATTGTAAACATCATAAAAATATAATAAAACCATTGCTCCAATCAAAACTTTTGATAGATTGAAGTTCTTCTCCAATAAAGCATGGTATTCGTTTCTTATTATTATTAATATTATATATAAAGCTAGTTTGGATTTTATCTATTACATCATAATTTATGTATAGGCCATATATATTTAATTATGTATATAC